AGATCATTCCAGAAGGTTTCAGTCTCATGCAACAGTGCATTTTACTGCTTCAATTTTCATAAAGGTTTGAGTCTTATCTTTAAACTGCAGTGTGGGGAAATGACCAGTTTCAGCTGCACAGAGGTCGTCAAATGTCCTCAACTCCCACACGAGCAGACAAATATTCAATCTACATGTCAGCCAAAGGAAACCATTACAGCTTCATTATTCTTCACTTATCATGGTCTATTTTTATGTTATGATATGAATAAAAACTGGTCTCCTTGTATGTAAGCATCATAAAAAAATAATTGATGGTATTTATGTTAATTCTCATATTCACAGTAATAATTACTGCAATAGTTCTGTTGTTGAAAAATCTATTTTAAGCTTCTGTAGATGAAACAATGCACAGGATTTTCACATTACAGTTTTTCTGAATTGCTGAACCACATCCTCAGTGTTCTGAGCTCATTAATTGAATCAATCACTTGTTTGGTTAAACCATAAACAACTTTCACCACTTAAAGTTGCAGATCTCATTTCCCCTTTTTGCAAAACTCTAAACACATTTTCACTCACAAAAACACACTGTGCACTGTGATGCATTCGTGATGCATAATGATAAACACAGTTATCAGCAGTTAAACACAATTTCAGCACAGGTGTCATAGCTTACACACAACAACTCAAAACTGTTTGTACTTGTTGCTAATGATGTGAGGAGGAGGAAGACCAAGACCAAGACCCAGACCAAGAGCAGTCATTTCAGATTAAATTTGAGCAGCTGTAATATACCATGTTCTTGTTTATGGAATGATAGTGAGGGAAGCAGGACAAAGAGTCCAACCCTCTGTAGTACCATAACCATTGTGAGGAGGCCTGGCCAGAGGGGGGAGACAGGTGACAGGAGTCAGACTCATGAGACATCCCCAAAATATTAAAAAGTGATATATTATTTATAAAATACAATACAGATACATGTAACACATGTAATTAAAAATGAAAAGAAAAACAAACGACTAACTTAAGGTAACGTCTCGAGCACATAGCTGCTCTGACAGCTTCACTTCCTCAGGGGGTCTCAGTTTTTCTCGCCCACTGTGCCACACTCACACTGTTGATGTGACAATCACAGCCTGCCTCTGCACAGCGTCACAGGTTTGCAATTGGTGTGAAAGCAGCTTGAACAATAAGTTTCCTGTTTGACAGTAAATTGCTCGTTGATTATAAATCGGTTGCCAACAGCTCTGAAACAGAGTACAGAGTGTGAAATTACAACATTACGTACTATATGTCTGCACATGAATCACACACACACACTGTGTATGTAAGCAAAAGAATGGACTGAGGACTGAGCCAAGCTTATGTTTCCACATTTTGCCCACTGACCTGGTTTCAGAAACAAGACCATGTGGTGTGAAAATGCTCAGAGATGCAGCGGCTGAAGAAGTCACTCAGCACATCAACAAGTCTGGAAATGAAACTCAAATTAAAAGAGTGAAAACAAGAACAGTGAAAACAGAGATGTAGAAATGTAAAATGATGGAGTGAAGATCAAACTGTTTTATAAATATTCATTTTCTGTAGGAACCCTGAAAGAGCAGAGCTGGGCTGATGCTGCAGCTGTTTTCTCTCTGCAGCATTTATCACTGTGATCTCCTGTGTAGCTGCTGCTCACTGCAGACGTCCTCTCAGAGGCAACAACGCTCACCCAGCACATAAACCAGCGTCAAACAGTCAAACAGCTGCTTTGTATTTATGAAGCAGTGATGCAGAAATAGTAGACAGCTGCTGAACTGAAGAGTTGGTGGTTCAATTCCTTATGTAGAGCAAGGCAGCTTTGGAGCTTTAAGGCTCTGTGGATAAATACAGTCTCCAACTGGAAAGTGATCTTATGTTCCACTCCCATTATTCCCATTATTATGTTTCCGAATGGGATCATATGTTGAAATGACTTCAAGGAGAGACCCTGATGTCCCCATGTGACGATCTATCAGATTCAGACATTTCATTATCCCAAGTGGGAAACTTGATTTGCAGGTGAAACAATATCCACAACACAATAAAACACACAGCACCAGTAGTGGAGTGGTAATTGGGAGGCTCAGGAGAATACCAGGTGGGCCATTAGTGGGTACGACTGATTATTGTGTAGACTAATATTGTGTTATATAAAAGTAGGCCATCTTGCTGCCATCCAGCCAGCCTAAACTGAATGCCCACAGCCCCTTGTCTCTTGACCAAGTCTATATTTGCAGTAGGGGGGTAAATGAAGTGGTAAAACCCAGTGTGCCTTGAGTTGTAATTGGTCAGCTAATGACCCAATAACAGCTCCAAACTCTTCTCCTGGCTCATACAGAGTTATCAGAGATGTGTTGGTGTTATCCAGGCAATGTGTGTGTTCACTGTTCACATTGGTTTGGAACATGGACAGCAGCAAAAACAGGAAGGAGAAAAGTGGAGCAGAGAAGGCTGGAATGGAAGAGAAAAAATACTGGAGGAGGACACAGAGAATAGTTTCAGAAGGACAAATATATTCAGGATTCGGTAAAAACCCAGCAGGGTGTTGTAGCTAGGTGATGGCTCAGGTAATATTAAATTTGGCTAGTATAACTACTTACTAGTTTTTGGGCAGCCCTATGCTTGTATTAGCTGGCTGTGTGTTATTAGCAGCTGGCTAAAGCAAATCATTAAAATATAAAACATTTTAAACATTTGAATGTGTTGTTCCTGCTCTTCTTCTGCAGCAGAAGAGACTAGAAAAAGGGGGCAGGGAAAACACAGCTACAGGTGTGAACATGACACTGTATATTTTATGAGTGCAGAGGATAAGATACAGTTTCTAGGAGCAAGGTGTAATATTACAGAATTATATTGGAGAAAATTACAAGATAGATGTTATGATTGCAACATTAAACAAGATGTGCTATAATATGAGTATTATTTAATGACTTTAGGAGTCCAAATGCATTTTAGTCCTATTGCACCTGAACCAGGAAACTCTGAGGGAGGGGCTTCAAATTCAGATTGAAGGGGGTGGTTTGTGCTGGCCAATATGGATCTGGCCTTATGGAGAACCTGCTGATTAAAGATGGCTGTGGGTGGGTTAGTGGGACACCCTTCACCTTGGAAGCCACCTTTATATATTTTTTGAAAATGGCAGGAAGACTACAAAGAGGGTGAGAGGCTGGGAGGCTGGGATGAAGCTGTGACAGCAAATGGAAACTGTTACTTTTAGATGCAGTGGGACAAAGCAATAAGTCAACCAGTTCATGTGAAGGACACTAAGACTGTGATGCATATTTTCCACTGCAGGACCACTCAGAGCTGATCTGAATTCCAAACTGCTCTGATCTGGTTTCCAGGTTTTGACCGTGTCAGGCTTCAGGACAATCTGATCAGGATTTAATATCCTCGTTAACCAGGAAGTGAATAGATTACCATGATAAATACAAAAACCAGAACATTAAGGACAGACCCAGAGGTCAGAGGTCAGGGGTCAAAGGGTGGAGTTTGATCCGAGGCTGTGATCCTGGCCAGGGTTTAGGTGATGATGTAGTAGACTTGTTTTCAGAGAATACGCACGCACACACACACACACACGTTATTATTACACGTCTGCATTAATAACGTACCCAAATGACTTTTTAATTACACATGTCTGTATTTAAAAAGTCATTTGGACTTGTTTGTGTATGTAATGCTTTTTTGTGAATGTGTGTGTGTGTGTGTGTGTGTGTGTGTGTGTGTGTGTGTGTGTGTGTGTGTGTGTGTGAGCAGAGCTGTGACTGGTCTTGGCTGAAACACTGTGGATAGATGGATGGATATGAGAGACAGAAGCAGAAGACAAGAATTAAGATGGAGTGATAAAGAAATTACTTGTGGAAATTGGTTGTATCTGTGTGTGTGTGTGTGTGTGTGTGTGTAGCAGCAGAATTTGGGACTTGGCAGGAATCAGGGATGACGATGAGGATGAATTGTGGGAATGGAGGGAGAGTTTTGAGGATGGCTGGCTGCCAGCTGTAACAGTCCGCAGGTTGTGGAGTCAGCTCAACGTCACACTGACCTTGGTGTGGAAACACAGGCTGTTCTCACTGTGACTAAGCTGCACAGGAACAGCACTGGTATTTATTACACAGTGAAATGTTTTCCATGGCCTCCAGTGAAGCAGCCTGGCTGTGAATCACTGTTTTACTCAAAGGAATCTGAGCTGTTTGTGCTGTTTCCTGTCTGTGGTTGTTGATGTGCTTCAGACTGGTGAGTTGCAGCAGGATTTGGATCCTGCAGGTCCTGCAAGACCCAAAATGAAAATGTAATGAGGGATGCACAGATTTGACTTTTTCTGCCCGGATACTATTACCTGCTGATATCAATGTGACGAATATTGATGTCTTATCAGTTTTATCCTCTTTATGTGATCATTATAAAATATATTTTTTTTAAGTATATTTTTTGGGCTTTTGTGCCTTTATTGGACAGGATAGTATAGAGAGACAGGAAATGGGGAGGCAGAGAGAGGGGGAATGACATGCAGTAAAGGGCCGTCCGATGCGGTTGTTTTCATTCCATCTCATTTTACATTAATGTTTTTAATGTTTTTCATGTTATATCAATGTCTGTCTTTGACATGTTTTTATGTCTTTTCATGTGAAGCACTTGGTGCTACATTTATTGTATGAAATGTGCTATACAAATAAACTTTTATTATTATGATTATGATTATTGTTATTATTATTTTATTCTTGTACATCACTGTGTGGAATTCATCTCTTTTCATCACCCAACATGACTGAAAGAATGTGATGCAACTCTGATTTTTGTAGTAACACTGACACACATATTTATATGAATTATTGCGCTTGTGTGTGAATGGGATCAAATCCCTGCAGCAGGTTCAACATCTGCTGGGAACACTGTTCATGTTCAATCACCATGTGGTTTCAATATCTGTGTAGTGTCTACATACTTGGCAACGTACCTGTTCCTGTACTGTGACCATCTCTGTCTTGTCTCCTCAGTGATCTCCTGGAGGATTTAGAGAGGAGTCCTCACGCGGCAGCCATCGCTGAGTGCTTCGTAGAGAGGGTGAGTACAGTACAGCTGTGTGTGTGTGTGTGTGTGTGTGTGTGTGTGTGTGTGTGTGTGTGTGTGTGTGTGTGTGTGTGTGTGTGTGTGTGTGTAAGGCTGTTAGTTGACAGAAAACATGATACTGTGAGCTCCAAACACTCAGTAAACCGGTAGAACTGCTCCTTCCATTCACTCCAAAACACACACACCGCTGCTATGGATCAAACCAACACCCAATGAACAAATTTTCATGTGTGTGTGTGTGTGTGTGTGTGTGTGTGTGTGTGTGTGTCTAAACAGTAGTGACATTGTCCTCACATGTTGCAGAGACAGAGGCAGGCATTATGAAGTTTACTTCCACATTAGATCTCCATTAGATTTTCTGTCCTAATAATGGTGGTGACCCCTGACCTTTCCCCCTACTCTCAGGCCAAAATTTCAGCTTGTACACAAGAAAGATAAACATCTAACATCTTGACTGATGTGGAATGTCCCAGTCTCAGTCCTGGTCACCAGATGATGAAGCACATAGGTTTTAATGCCCTTTCCTGTGGACAAACTTGTTAAGACTCCAGGCCTGCAGGGTAGGATCAAGGTGGGACACTGCCTTATCTGTGATTAATGTTCAAGTCTTGCTGGGAAAATACTGACTGTAGAAATTTAAAATAACGTTTTATCTGACAGACATGACATGTAGAGGGTGTGATGCTTTGGTTACCCAGAGTAATATGTACAGGTGTTGGTGTAAGGCTGCATACAGCCACCACAGTGTCAGTGTGGGGCGTCCTGCTGTGTGTGGTCTGAGTCAATAACGACGTGATTTTTGCTGGTTGATCTTGTTGCTCTGAGCTCACTGTAACAACTGGAGGAGGCTCAGAGGAGTTCTCCACATCATGATCAGAGATTGTAGTGATGACATGAAACTAAAACTGGGGTGGATCTAAACTGGATTTTGAGAGGTGATAGTTAAAACCCTCGTTAAGCTGTGGCTGTTTTTATGTTCTGTCCATTGCTGTGATGTTGTGGCGGCAGCGATGGACAGTAACAAAGTACATTTACTTTTACCGATTTGACTTTTACTCCTCTACACTTAAGAGACAAATATTGTCCTTTTGACTCCACTACATTTCTATGAAGTACTCTTACCTTGAAGCAGAGCTTTAGTCAGTGACTGAATTTTATTTTATTTTGAAAATGTGATAGACCATACACTCATGTTTATCACAGGAGAAAAACCAATCACAGCCAACTCCTCCACTGTCAGTCATGTTTGAATCTGTCATTGTCCTAACGATGGCAACGTTAGATAAAGATGAGGCAGAAGATTCTGAACCAGAGACCATGGTCTGATCTGAGGTCTGTGTTTGAAGGATTCAAGAAAGATTAATTGATTAATTGATTAATTGTTAATGTTTCCTGTGTTTACCACAGCCAGACTTCATCACTGACTAAAGAAAATTCAGCATTCAACTTGAGAAAGCGTTGAGGAAAGATTTTTTGAATTCTAGATAAACTTTTAAAATGGCAGCTTGTAGTAGTTACCGTTTTTATGTTGTGGGTGGTCAAATGACTTATGGCCATTTCTATCATCTTGTATCATGTTCATATACAGTCTTTTTATTTTACAGGATCTACAGTCAGTCAGTAAGTCAGTCAGCAGATTGTTTCAGAGTCATTAGATTCTGTAAATGTATTACAATACACAGGGGCGCCGCCAGGGATTTTGGGCCCCATGAAAAAATATCACATTGGGCCCCCTCACCAAAGGCCACAAGAACCCTGTGCAACTGCTGTAACCACATCTCCAGGATCCAATCGACCCACTCAAAAGCTTTACATAACTCTACCTTTTCAGCTGTCTTGCCTCTTGTAGTCAAATATTTACTGTATGACTGACAAAAATGGATGATTCACTGCGCACAAGGTGACTGATTTGCCTCTTCCTTTATTAAGTCTTCATGGCTTCATCATGGAACCAAAATGAACAAGCACAAAATAAAAACAGGAATCAGTTAGGCTACATAAAATGAAAAGGTAGGGCAACTTAGCATGAATAGGAACATAAGACTCAAGAAACGTTATGGTTTATGGTGCACCTGCCGACATATCAGCTGCTGAGTCTGGTAGGGAGGGCGGGGACAAGCCATTTAGTAGGCTATAATTAGCTGAAACGTTCATCTCATTGTGGATATCAAACTAGCAGGTTGATTTCAACCACTCACAGACTATACCCACCTTTCCTGGAGAAAAACTGGGTGACATACTGACGCCCTTTCTTCTCTCTCTCCTCTCTCTCCTTTCTTTCCCTCCTTTTCTGGGACCCAGACTTTGTCTTTCCAGACATTGCTGCAGCCTTTGGCGCACTCTGTGCAGCTTCTGTGTGACTGCTGCGGCACAGCTGACTAGCGCCACTCAGGCAGGGCTGTACCATTTCATGCAGATGGGGGGGGGGGTTAATATGAATTTGCCCAAGTAGAGACCTTTGATATACATTTTATGAAGACAAAGGGACTGTTTGTTTCATTACTTTATTTTGAATAAAGTATTAATTCTGATTTAGTCAGTCATGGGCCCTTAGAATTGTCCTAACTTTCCCCCCCTTTACGGCGCCCCTGACAATACAACAATGAGCTGACATAAAAAATCTACTTATGATACTTAAGTATTTTTAAAATCAAGTACTCCAGTACTTAATTTTAACTCAAGTAAAAATGTGACTGAACAACTTTCAAATGTATTGACCAGGAGGATCTTGTTTCTGACTTTAGTAATGAAGTTGTGATGCAGTCTGTACGGGAAGCTGGCTGAGCTTTCAAATGGTAGCCCTGTAATTGGAGCCTATGTGTTTATTTAGTAGATTTAAGATAACTTGTGTTGGCACTACACTCAGATTTCACACTCTCTGATTGGTCTCTTATGTTTCTGCCTCACACTTAAAATACAAACTGTATTTTATAATTCTACCTCCGGATCTGAACATTTAAAAAAATAATTTCATGTATTATCTTTATTTGTCAGTAAAAGAACAATCTCTGAGCTTCAGGTGGTTTCCTGTTTGTTCAGACTGAATCTGAACTGAACTTCCTGTCAGCAATGGACATTAGATTAAACTGTTAGAGATGTCCAGACTACTTTAAGACCTGTGTGTGTGTGTGTGTGTGTGTGTGTGTGTGTGTGTGTGTGTGTGTGTGCGTGTGAGTGTGTGTGTGTGCAGTGTCTGACACAATGCTGTCTTTCTCTTTGACCTCCTGACTGACTGATGGACTGATGGGAAGTGCTGGTAGCAGCAGTAGGAGTCAGAGTCAGACAGAGAGAGGATGAGGTGGAGAAAGTGATGAACTCTGGTCCTGTTTCCTGCAAACACACAGGCTCTGTCTCAATCTGGTACAAAGCTTGAGATAAATGTCTAATTGTATATGCTCCTTGATACATGAATCAAATGAAGGGAAGCATCTTGTATAACCTCCAGTTCAGGCTGTAGATGGAGATGATGGATCTGAGTTTATGATGGTTGGATGAAAAGTGAGCATTCAGAAGAGGAGGAGGACTTTGTTTCTGGTATTTTAATAACTAAGAGGAAGGAGAACGAACTGTGACTCACAGCTGATGAGGTGTGAGGAGCAGAAGGAGGTGGAGCATATATACTGGTTTTACAACCAACAATAAGCAGCTAACATGAAGGGGTGTATTATGTCAGATTTAGCTGGATTGTGTATTCTCTTCTTCACACCCTCCGAATGTGGTTATCAATTAATTTATAATAATAGATACCTGTCATTGTAGACATAGATAATAAATATTTAGTCATGTTTCTTTAATTAATGATTGAGAAATATGTTCTGTCACACAGAAAAATTTTGAAATAATATAATATTATGTTTTTATGTTTGATGATGCTCTATCTGTTTACACTGTCTCCCTCCACCTCTGATGTTAACTGTGTTGTCTTTTCTTCAGAGTGAAGCGTTTGACATCTACACACTCTACTGCATGAACTACCCCAAGTAAGTCCACACGCACACACACACACACACACACTGAAAGCAGGTGAGAACAGATGAAATGAAAGAAGATGAGAACAAATAAATGAAAATAAATCTATAATTAAAAAAAAGTAAATTATAAAAGATATGTTCAGAAAACAAAATCAGTGCATGTGTTCAGAGCAAATGTGATGTCATTAGAATACATGACTATTTATGTATGTGTGTGTTGTCAATGAATGAGGAAACAACAAATTAGGTAAAAAACAACAACAAATGACAATGTGAAAGAAAAGATGTGATGTGAGTTTATGATGACAGACAACAACAAATGAATGAATGATTCAATGAATTATGGGAATTGCACAATGATAAGAACAGGAGACTGGTCCAGTGAAAATCTTCTTTATCCACCATCAGGAAGCTTAATAACTATTGTCCATCCATTGAATGAATTTGCTTTGAATATTCCTACTCCCCAGAGGACACATCCTTTAAAGAGTCCATGATCTGCACTTTAGCACCACCCTCAGGACAATCACTACATGTTTCACTCCACTGCTGGCGAGACTAAGGACATTTTCACACCTACAGTTGGTGTGCTCTGGTACGACTAAGTTGATGAATTTGTAAACTTGTAGGTTCAGTTTGCTTTCACACAGAAAGAAATTCAAGTGATTCAAGAATTAAAACCAGGTGAAAACATTCACTCCTCTGATTGGTCAGATTGTCTGGCTGGAGCAGGAAAGTAAACACAGGAAGAAGGTTGCAGGAACCACTAAGCTCAAACTTGTGATTTCACCTGCTAGTGGGGTCTGATTGAGTTCAGAACTCTGTCACACCAAAAATTAACTGCTCCAGAGCTCATTTGGGACTAGACTGAGACCACCTTCTTGAAAGGGTCTTTGTGTTGTCCTCACTACAGTGTAGGAACTGCAGCTATACAACTAGCTAAACGCTTCCTTGCAAATGATGACTTGAGTCATAGTGAGCTTTAGTTGCTGTTTACTGTGGCTCTTTTACATCACCTTACACAGACAGAGTGAAAACTCTAACTGTAACATTTTACTCTGCAACATGTGCTTTTCCTCAATGTAAATATATATACATGAAATATTTTTAATACAAACACATCAAATGCCTTTTCATGTAAATAATAGTTTTTAACATTAATTTATGCATCCAACTATGAAATTATTTACTTATGACATTGCCTCTGTGGCGTTTACAATGTGGATTACACACGATGAACACAGAAACACAGGTGTGCAAATTCAGCTGGCTCCCTCAAACTACTTACAGGAAGTGAACTGTGAACCCATAACTTCCTAAGCAAGATGAACACATTTCAAAATAAAAGTCTTTCAAAATAAAAGCACATTCAAATGTATGCCTTAAAGGCAACACAGTCTTGGTGCAATTTTTTTGGTACGCACCCAAGTGCGATTACTGTTTGCACACCTGCCCAAACAAATCGTACTGAGGTGGAAAATCAACCAGGGTTTGGTTTAACTGGACTAAAAAGCAAAGGTGTGAAAACACTCTTAGAACAGGTGAACCATCGGGAGTGTGTTGTTTGGCTGAGATGAACACTGCAGCCTGTGGGGGGTGATCACAGAACTTTATTGTCAGTTTTAATTTATGTTTAAACATCTGTTTGTTGAGTGAAACTGAAACCTGTCGACACTCTGCTGTAAAAACAGCCCTGAGCATTTGTCATCTGTTCCTGACAAACTCTGAATTAGAAAAGAGTGTGGTTTGTGAGCAGAGAAATGTGTTTTAGTAGAAACACAGAGAGAGGTCTGCTTTATGGAGCAGAAGAAGAGTCTGGAGCAGGATCTTTGTCTAATCCAGAACATCACACACACACACACACACACACACACGCACATAAACAAACACACAGAATAAGAAAATGGGGGTGAAGGATGACTGTGTATCTGTACAGCGCAATAAAAGAGTTTAAAAACAGTGACAACAGCATTTTGAAAACTTTAATACTTTAATGTTTGTGCTCTGATGAGTTTCTCTTGTCGGTGTCTTTTATCTCTGAGTCAGTATGACAGACACTTTTATATAGTCCAGTACTCTGACACCAAGTCCTCCACGATTCACCTTCCTGGTCTAACTCATTCTCAGTGAGGAATATGACCAGTCCACTCACTCAGCCTCTCTTCTCCACACAGTTTTTAATTCAATTTCCTTTTCGAATCTGATTGTTGGAACAGCTGATGAACTGTGACCAATGTGCCCTGCCTTCTTAGAAGAGCACTCACTGCATGTCATTGACAGGTTAAAAAAAGAATCCAAATCAATGCAGCAGAGCCAGAGATATCTTTTTTATTCCACCCATTCTTCTTCCTTGTCAAAACCCAGGACCTACATGTACCCACAATGCAACTCAACCACTGAAAGTTGGGTGGGAGATCTGGGCTCCAGTCGAAAAGTCAAAATAATCTCTCTAAACCCTTCTCCTTGACCTTGATGGAAAACGTCTTAAGGTCAAGCAAAGAAGTGAAGGAGAATTCATAAGGATGTAGGAAAACACACCAGAGTGCTAAGGGAATCCAACTGCACTTACACTAAGCTTAATATATAAAAAATATAAATAATTAAAAATAGGGAGCAAGAGATCAGAATAAATTATATTCCGACATAAATTTATAGTTTCCTGTCGTAGGCGCTTTTGACATTTTTATACTTTTGTTAAGTAGAGAAAATTCATTTTTAGTCCTTTACACAGTGAGGGGATATCAAAAAACAATATTTATGTATAGGCTGTAGTATTTTGTTATGATGATGACATTGTTCACTATAAATTCAATCTACTATGATGACTCCTAACTGATTTAAAGAGAAATCTATATTTAGGGATTTGGGTTTCAGTCGATCAGACAAGGATTTCCATCAGTTCGAGTCACAAACATAAAACAGCAGCTCTGTTGTCAATACATTTATGTGGGTCTGCTGTGGTGAAACTACAATGGTTCGCCATTTTAAGGAAGGAATTGTAGGATGGCATTTCTCCTTTCCTTTCATAGAGGAAGGTCCAGTGTTTCCTATGCTAAAGGAGATAAGATAGGAAGCATTGAAGCTCCTTTCCTCATCAACTACGTAATTGGACCAGCTCTGATCATGGCTGGCTAGTGGCTAATGTATCCTGGAGCCTGGAGCCTGGAGCTTGCAGCAGAGATGAGGCTACAGAGGTCTGGTCAGCTCGTGGCTTCCTAAGTCCACACCCACAGATATTGTTCTGCTTTGTTCTTTATATGTGCTGACGTTTAGTAAAATCATTTATTAGATGAATTCCTTCAATTTACCGTCTTCGATCTTAAAGGTTTTACTTATTATTGTATTTACTGTGTGTAGTTTTATTATATCAGCATGTGAAATTGTTGAAAAGGGTTTTGAAGATGAAGAGCACATGACTGTGTTTTCACTCATTTTCAGGATGAGTATCAAACCACATCCATTGTTGAAATTCACGACATTGAATCAAAACCATTTTGGTTTAAGATGTGAAACACACAGTGACACACACACACACAGACATTCAGCCAAACATCTGACTGTCTGCCTGTGTGTGTGTGTGTGTGTGTGTGTGTGTGTGTGTGTGTGTGTGTGTGTGTGTTGTTCTGGATTAGACAAAGATCCTGCTCCAGACTCTTCTTCTGCTCCATAAAGCAGACCTCTCTCTGTGTTTCTACTAAAACACATTTCTCTGCTCATAAACCACACTCTTTTCTCATTCAGGGTTTGTCAGGAACAGATGACAGATCTCCCACCCAACTTTCAGTGGTTGAGTTGCATTGTGGGTACATGTAGGTCCTGGGTTTTGACAAGGAAGAAGAATGGGTGGAATAAAAAAGATATCTCTGGCTCTGCTGCATTGATTTGGATTCTTTTTTTAACCTGTCAATGACATGCAGTGAGTGCTCTTCTAAGAAGGCAGGGCACATTGGTCACAGTTCATCAGCTGTTCCAACAATCAGATTCGAAAAGGAAATTGAATTAAAAACTGTGTGGAGAAGAGAGGCTGAGTGAGTGGACTGGTCATATTCCTCACTGAGAATGAGTTAGACCAGGAAGGTGAATCGTGGAGGACTTGGTGTCAGAGTACTGGACTATATAAAAGTGTCTGTCATACTGACTCAGAGATAAAAGACACCGACAAGAGAAACTCATCAGAGCACAAACATTAAAGTATTAAAGTTTTCAAAATGCTGTTGTCACTGTTTTTAAACTCTTTTATTGCGCTGTACAGATACACAGTCATCCTTCACCCCCATTTTCTTATTCTGTGTGTTTGTTTATGTGCGTGTGTGTGTGTGTGTGTGTGTGTGTGTGTGTGTGTGTGTGTGTCTTTTATTCTCTGTAGACTGAGAGAATCACAGCTAATTTCACATACCATCTCCTCTCCATCAATCTGACAGACAGATGTTTGGCCTGACTGGATCACTGCCCAGCTATGTGTGTGTGTGTGTGTGTGTGTGTGTGTGTGTGTGTGTGTGTGCATACATATGACTCCATGCACTTAAATCACTGCATACATACATAGTAAAAGCCTTAATCAAAATGCATACAAGCTTGTGTGTGTGTGTCAGTTTCCATTATCAGTGTGGAAGTCGACCCCTCCTTCACCTCACTCCACTCTCTGCTCTCTGCCTGTCGCCTCCTTACAGCTCCATTAAACTCAAATAAAAATAAGTAGGTCAAATGCTTTCAGACCACCAAACTCAGAAACTTTCTGTGTCTCTGGCTCCAGTTTTCAGAGCTGCATCGCTGCTTCTCCTGCTGGATCCCCTCAGGCCTCACTGCTCCGAATGCTCACTTATTCTGCTGCTGCATGTAACATAAACATGAGGGGAGTCCAAGGCACTAGGAGGGCCCCCAAAACACATACGAAATCTATGAACTGATTGTCACATTACCATTCAGTTAGGTCGATCAGTTTATCAGTCAAATCAACCTACTTTATTTCTGAGGTCATATCAAACATGTACAGAGCAGCCGGGCCACAG